AATACTGTTGAATTATATTCATTGTATTGCTATAACAGATATTTACTAATATTTGCGATGTTACGTATGTAATATCGACGACGATGATTTATTTTTAAAGATGTAACTATGACGTTGAGATGTTGAGAGTTTTGTATTGAATCGGAATGTATCAGAGGAAGAATTAATAATGAAAGAAAGTACAAGTAGAAGCACGGTCAATTAAAGAAAAAAAAAAAAAAGAATTGTTATTAGAGTTAGTTTACTTTTCTCGCTACGTGTAGGATTCGTAATATTTGCAAATTTGCACACTGGTCGATGTAACAGTAGAGTGTAGTGAATTTTTATAAATTTTCGGAATAGCTTTGTATGAATTGAAGTACACTCGCGATTATGCTTTTCATACTCCGTGTGTGACATAAAGAGCTTGCAAAGAAACATTGTTACGTGAAAAGTAGTTGTCTTGTAATATTCATAGTAAAATGTGCATTCGTATACTGAATCATCGAGGCATCGCGTACTCGTTGCTAATTCACGAAATGGTAATGTAGATACAATTGCAGTAAAATGTGCGATTATTTCGGTTTTAAATAATTTATGAAAAAAATATGGGAATGTCTTTCCACGTGTTCTTCCGGCGAAAATTATTACCGATAAACGAATGGTACACAATTTTCACCCTTTCTTCTTTCATTTTGGTAGTCGGTATAGAAATTTGTCAGTTTATATTTTATAATTAATGTTTATTCCAATTCAGTTAGCAGAGATTCTCTAATTTCGAAAGTAGAAAAGATCAGTTAATACTTGTGAATGTGTACCGAGTAATTGCTAATAACGAAAAGTACCTTTCAATTCGTTTAACATCGCTTGTGTTTCAATTAATCTGTAAAAATATGTATGCGTACATAATATCTTTTCTTTTCAGCTGTTAAATTTTCATTTTTGCCAATTGTTTTAATATCACTTGCATTTCAATTAATGTGTAAAAATACGTATGTATATGTGCATCAGATTGCTAATAACGAAAAGTACCTTTCAATTCGTTTAATATCGCTTGCATTTCAATTAATGTGTAAAAATACGTATGTATATGTGCATCATATCGTTTCTTTTCATTTGTTGAACTTTCATTTTTAATTATTATCATCGAGGCTTTCGGGTGTAAGCTAGATCCTTATGGAAATAGTTCTCCAATCCTCAATAATAATAATTATACTCCGGGCCGCGAAAACTTGAAATCTTTGATTTCATTTTTATTATTTTATGTGTTAAAATATGTGTATATATGTGCATGTTATCATCTTTTCTTTTCAACTGTTAAACTTTGGTTTTTGCCATTACTAATCCAACAAACAACAAGTATGTTACAGATTGTATAATACCTCGAGTATTACAGAAGCGAATGTACGGAAGCTGAAAAATGGTAAAGTACGAATGAAAGGAAATTACTGGAAGAAAAATGGTATATGTCATTATTAAATGATGTTCATATCGTCACTTGCAGAATATAACTACTAAATTTGTTTGAGTTCGAGTTTGTTGCAGGTGACGGAGGAGCAGTGGAGCTGATATTTCTCTTACCTTTCCTTTATATCTCTTTAGATTTTTAGAATAGGCAGGGTACAGGTTGCTTTTAAAAAAAACGTTAAATGTTAACTAGCCACGCTATTTTCAACATTAGGTTAGGTTCTTAATTAAGCAAGATATTTTTAAGTTAAGGTAGATCTTTAATTAGACTGGCCAGTTTCAACGTACAATTAGATTCTTAGTCAGGTAGGCAATTTCTAAGTTAAGTTAGAAGCGATATTTAATATTAAGTTAGATTCTTAGTTAGGTAAGCGATATTTAATATTAAGTTAGATTGTTAGTCAGGCAGGTAATTTTTAAGTTAAGTTAAATTTTTAGTCAGGCAGGTATTTTTAAGATAAACGAGATTTATAGTTAGGCAGGATATTATTTAAGACTTTACCACTTAAGTAGGCAAGTTTTCAATGAAAATTCAGTGTTTGGGTTACAGTGCTGCTGTAATTGAAAGAGAAGTGTTTGTTATTTAAGGCGTTAGTTCTCAGTTTGAAAGAATTACAGTTTTTCTACTGTCGTTACTTATCTATATCCAATGTTGAACAAAAACGCCTGATTTTTTTTCAGAGATAGCGTTTAACTGACAAGTGCTTTTATGGGACGTATTTCTTCATATTTCCTTCGTTTGTGTTTCAAAATATTTCACGCATCAAATACCTATTTCAAGCTATTCTTGTGCAGTGATAAAAATACAGAGTAATGATACATGCATAAATTAATGTCTCGTATAGGATTAAGGATTTCATTAGTCCTAGTTTAAGTCAGGTTTAAGTTAACTCCTAGTTTAAGTCAAATGTGAGTGAATTATACTGTAAGCTAGGCGTAAGATAAGTTTAAGCTAAACTTAAAGTACTTTAAGTTAAAATTAATAGGATACATTTAACGTTTTTTTTTTTTTTTGTATTTTTTCTCGTCGACTTTTATTCAAGTTAGAATTCTTTCAGTCTCCTGCTATTGTCCGTTTGTACAGCGGTCGAAAATTCGAACGTATTGCAAGTGTACAATCAGTAGGAGGTGTTTTCTTGTGTTAACGAGTAGAAAAGAAATAGTAGGCGCGTAAAAGGAGGGTGGATGGGACGTGAGGATAGGGTGGGCCTCGATTCGCAGCAACCTCCACGAGGTGAGGCCTGGGCAATCGATATTATTTGACATATAATTACGATTGTATAGCAAATAAATTCGAGCAAATCAGCTGCCATATTAAAAGATCGTAATTTAGATTGACACAGTACCTAAGGTGAATTGTAATGAATGTAGCAGTAATTAATACACTTTTTCTGATAATTAATTGAACAACATTTGTGCTTGCTAGATGTTTTCAGGGATTTACGCGTGCATACATTACGTCGGCCATTTTAACATGCAAATTACAATTTAACAATAGACTAAGGTCTTTATAGCGATTATGGTTAAGCTTAGTCAGCTGTGAATAGGTACTTTTATGGGTTAGGTTAGGTTTAGGTTTTATGGTTGTGTGCCAAAGTAAAAGTTAGGCAGTGTAGTGTCGTATCGGTCCACGAATACGGGACTTGGATCACGACGAATGGAATGTCTTATACTGAGAAACTAGCGAGAATCCGGAGTCCAAGTTTTATTTAAATTATTGGTAAGGTACAATTCTACTATAGGCTCGGCTGATCGGTTTTTGAGTGTCTCGTTTGGTGTTCGGAGGGAGACTGCTTGAAAAATTGGAGGAGTACAGAAAATGAGAGTTGGTGTAGGCGGAGTTCAAATCTGGGGGTAGAATATTGGAACGGTAGAAATTCGGTGATTGGTCTTAGGATATTTGCAAGGGGATAGGGAAAGGGTAAAAGTGGGGATGGAAGGTCGAGGTGGCCTAGAGTTTTGGAAAATCCCAGAAGGAGAGGAAATCGAAGATCGGAGAAGGAAAAGACTAGGTCGCTAATTAGAGGATAGGTATAATGGGTGGTAAAAAATGTGTTACGCTGCCGTTCGGTACAATAATAACGGTCCCGTTAATCCTCTGCGTCGAGGCTCGGTCAGGGCCGTTTTATGATTTTTTGGGAACCGTTGTTCCGTACGGGACAGGCAGGCTATTATAATTATAAGTAAAATTCAGCAGAAGAATGTGTCATTTCAAAACCAGTGGTATTACGTGTACCTAATTAAAAGCATTCTTAATAAGATCGCATTTAGACTGACTTTCATCAACAAAATCCCATAAATTGATAATATTTCTTACAACTTGGATGTCATTTTAACTGCATTTACGTGAGGGTTTAGTATCTATTTATAAAAAAATTGTTTTGTAGTAAGAAATAATTTCTCCGTATTATTTAATTAAGGGGTCAACGTTCTGTGTTGAGATGAAAAGATGCCTAACGGGGCGGCATAGAAGCTAGAGGTGTATAGTCGGTGGAACCGATATAGCGATGTCGTAAAATTAGTCAAAATACACGTAATCCAAGTGTCGAATTTTTTATGTCAACTCGGAATTGGTTCCTCCATTGTATTATAGTATATTTAAAAATTTGGTGTGCGCTTTAATCGTTGACAGCTGCAGGTTAATTTTTACCAATACAGTAGAATTACTGTTGGACAGAAAGTGACGTAGGTTTAACTCTTAACGCGCCGACTATTTTATTGGAAACTTTACCTAAAGCGCCGAAATATTTACGAATGTTGTAGAAATATGCATCTTGTTTTTTATTTTATTCAATGATAGAAACAGTGTGCCACCTACGGTTTAAGAGATACATATTATTTTCTGCACAAACATTTGAATACGCGTTTAGGCCGACCTGGCGCTTTACCGTTAGTCCACATATGTATTTCGATGCTTTAAGTGTTAATATCGTATATTTTAAATTAAAAATTGTAAGCAGAAATATTAGATATCAATTCACAAATGACGGACAGTCTTAGGTGTGACTATATCAATCGGTGTCGCTGCTTAATGCTTTAGTTTACAGCTCCAGTATATCGCTTCCACCAACTATACTTCACTCGCACTCTGTGACTCTCCGTCATGCGGTGCTATATGATCCGATTTGCCGCTGCTATTGCGTCGGCTAACAATAACACTACATGTGTTAGAGAGCATTGTGTTAGAGAAGTTGGGCCTATTGGGGTATAACCCAATCAGACCCTTATTCCTTTCGCTGGACATCTTTTCAGCTCTGCACGGTACATATGTATAGAGATACGTAAATTCTCAAATAGAATATGAAAAATATAAGACTCGCCGAATATGGTTAATATGCATGCAATGTGGATGTTTATGCAATTATAATATATTAAAATATGTAAAATACACGAGAGTAACGTTACACTCTTACTGACTGTACTGTGTTGCACCAGTGTTATTGTTTACGTATCTCAAGAAATTCTAACGTTACTTTCCTGTATTTTGCATATTTTGATATGTTGTAATTGCATAAACAACCGCCTTCTAAAAGATGAGTAATCAATATACATACAGTGAACATCAACGGAGTAACGTTTGCTGACTGTTGGGGGCACATTGTTACTGGCTATGCAGAGGTATATACCCATATCTTGTCGAAGGACTGCTGTTAATTCTAGAGTCTCACCCACGTAATTTTTTATTGCTGAAAAATAAAATATTTTACTATGACTATTAATTTAGTTTTAATCTTAGCATTTCTTATATTCTACAACATTGTATTGTTATTAATGATAAGTTACGCTTCTGTATTGGCAATAAAGTAATATGAAAATTGTATTGCATGTAAGAATGAAATTAACGAAAGGGGGAAAAAGAGATAAAGACGATAAAAGATCTGAAAAGTGCCCCGTTACAAGAGTAACATGTAAAAGTTCACTGTCATCGTTCAGCCTTCAATTAAGTGACATTAGCTATTTAGTAACTTATCACTTAGGTAACTCTGATTCGGAAGTTATTTAGTTATTTCTTGGATTTTAGTTCATAAGGAACATAATCCATTGGGAAAACTTTTTAGAAATTGAAAAAGTTCTTTTAAGCCGTCGTAGGATGGCGAGCTATTAGTAGCTAATAAACTCTTTGTTTCCCCTATGTGTGATACTATAGTGTGATTATTACAAAATGCGGGGTGAATCAGGTAAGAAAAGCCACTCGAATAACTTTTACAATTTTGGAGATAGAAGGAAATGTTTGAAACAAAGATTGTTTGGTTCAGGGGGGAGGCATTGCGTGGTGGACAAAACTTTTTCAAGAGGAGGCGCTTAGGAAATTTGAAGGTCACCTTCGTTTTTTTGAATGGAACTATGTATTTTTGAATACCTACAATGATAGCCCTTCTCGAGACAATTTCAATGACTATGGTCATTCAATGCGACGGACATAATAAAAGGTGAAAAATGAAAATTGATTGGAAATGCTTTTGAAACAGAATATTAACGGAGTAAAATTGAATAAATTCAAAACATGAACAAATTTCGCCGAAACTCTTTAAGATTGATTGGAAATATTTCCAAGTTTCCAAAGTACATTTCCAAAGTACGTTTCCAAGTCATTTGAAGCATCTCCTGTGAAGATAATCGGATACTAAACGGTACAACACAAAACTTCATATCTTGCAAACAAGGTCCAATAGGACATGCGTTTATATGAACATTTTTCATTGTTTTCAAGTGCTGAATTAATCCCCAAAGTGAGTCCCACATATCACAGGACACCCTGTATAATGATCTGTGATATAAAACAGTGAAAAAGTGAATTTATGTAAAATATCTTACATTGCTTTTGTCCATCTTCTCGAAGAACAATGTTTCGACCGTCTTCTCGTTTCCATGTAACGGTAGGTTTCGGTGAGCCAGTTGCAACGCATTTTAATTTGATATTCCCACCTTCATGGGTTATCATACCGTCAGCAGATCTGTCATCCATAATATCCGGCGGTATCACCACCTCCATGTATCCATTCTAAAAATATAATAGAAATTTTTTAAATTGAAGAAAGTCACGTGATCTTCATAATATGAGCCCTATAATATTTTTAATATCATTTAGTCTTTATTATTAACCAATGGTTGCCATTAATGTTTCACAACTGGACTTTTAGCTGCATGTAGTTTTTAAAAGCTTGCAAGCTTTTCAATTAATTTTTTCAAAGGAGTTGTTCAGCTATATCTTCCCATTGCAAATTTGTACACATTAATGGGAAGTAAAATTTATGAATCACTTGCCCCAAATAAAAAAAATACTATTTCATGTATCTGCTGGGCAAACTTACAAATAACTATTTAAGTGAACTGGAATAATAAGAATACCGGCATAATCCTTTTATTGAATTTTTATATCATTATTAGTGAAGAAAAATACTTATTGGTAAATAGAGTTATGCTGGGAATGAAGGGATTGCGTAAATGTTTACAATAAGCTAGAATATGCCAGTATTTTAGGTGCTTGGATCGTATTTAGAATTGCAGCATGAAGAAAGTGTGTTAGACAATAAGATTTTCTGTAAAAATGATGTGTACTTGGTGAAAATGTTGTAGCAAGGTCTTAAAATCAGACAAACGTGAAAGAACATGAAATCCAATTGCCAAAATATCATATAAGATATCGAGATAAGAAGCTCGAGCCTCGTTCAGGGTCGTACGAAATCAACTTGGTACTGGTTCTTCGATTACAGTATATTTAAAAAAGTGGTAAAAGCAGACAAAAGGTAGATGTGGATCTATACTGATCCAATCATGGCTGCCCTTGTACTGTTCTTGCGACTTCAGATTTGGAGGGCTTCTACAAGACGTTTATCGTCAGCTAATTGAAGGCCACTTGTCTAAACCATTTCTTACACCGCAACTTCCCCTCAAACGGCGACAATGTAAGACTAAAGAGTAGTGGAGATGGCTAGACCGCCTATTTTGCCGAACAATATTCCAGCAACAAGCCACGCCTTCTTGGGCAATAATCCTGTGGTGGATCACTGTATGAATGTACAGGTCTACCAAGCAAACCTGAAGGTTCGGGGAGGAGTTAGGATCAGGAAGTGGGGGATGGAGGAGAACTTGTTACGTCTTCGTTAATAGTCAACCAATCATGATACAGTAAAGCTGTCGCACTTACTCTTATAAACAATGATATCCGACGAATTTTTGAGGCGTGGAAGCTGCAGTTGTCGATATACAGCAGAGCCGCTTAACTTGCTCACGAGCAAATTTCCCCTCCCGAGGTTCCCCCACTATGCGGTACGAACACGCAGAATGTGTAACATAAACCAATGGCAGTCGCTGGAGTTGTGGTGGGAGGACTCCTCGCGTCCTCCTCCCACCGCGCCGCAACTCAAGCGAGACCATCTCAGTCGCATAGTGGGGGAACCTCGGGAGGAGGGGGGGTTTGCTCGTGGGCGGGAGGTTAAGCGGCTCTGATATACAGGGTAGTGTAATAAGAATCACCACCTTAAATATCTTTGGAACCATGAGAGTAAGAGAAAAATTTGTTTAACAAAAGTTGTACAGTACAAAAGGCGTCATCATATTGTTATGCCGCCGTTTTTGTAGGTGGAGTTGCTTAGGAGATACGAAGATCAACCCTGTTTTTTTAAATGACATGTTTATGAGCTGATAGCTGCTTTTCAGACGAATACAAAGACTTATTACACAAGGTCAGTCAAGGTCATGGAAGAGCAATTAAATAATAAACCGACGGCTGGTTGAGAATCTAATAAAACTTCTCCTGCAGCAGAGGTAGTCAATATAGGATCGTAGAGTAGTGGGGATGATGTGCCCGCCTATTTTCTGTTCATTTGCACAGGCATGCGCGGTAGAACCTTCAGGTTTGCTTGGTCGACCTGCACGTTGCTTCATATCATTTATTTTGTCCTAGAGCTTTTGTTATTTCCTATTTATGCAGAAAGCTGAAGATGGCAATGATTCAATGTGCTTGCAAATGGCTATGGCTGCTCAATACATTGTAACTGTGACGGCGACGTAACCGTTACATTCCTATACTATAGTATAATAAAAATCAAAACTATCTGTTAAATTGTCAGGAAACGAAAATTTAGAAAAGTGCACGAACTTTTTTATAAACTGTAATACAAGAGATTCTACATAATTTGCATTTTCTTTTTGTACATGCTCCAATTAAGTTAGTTCAAAATTCTGTAGAGGACATTCGCCAGAAATTTTTAATCTACTCTATGTTTTTTACACATAAATTGTTCAGCTGTTGTTAGTTTTCGTACACCTTTTTTTCTTTAGTATCGGAGCAGTCCAATAATAACTTTTCCATGTTTTATTCAGATTGTCTTTCGATATGTAGTTAATTATAATAAATACAAGACCTGGGATTTTTTTTATGTTTATCACGGTTCATAGTAAACAGTTCAGAATATCGTAAGCAGCTCACGTTCTATGCCACAACTATGAACATGAACGAATTTTTTATCTAGATATGGCTTTAGGCGTCGTTTGCTAATTTAATTATGTTCAAATATTTAACAATATTTTGTGACAAAACGATGGATTTATGACATATGGTTCCATTCAAACATTTTCTCTTTTTGACAAATAGAACATGTAGTATATTAAAAGTATTTAACACTAATTCTCAATGTTAAAAATAATTTTGCAGTGAATTTCTGTAATAAATCTTCACCGATCCAAAAGTGTTGATCCATCCTTGAAACTATGACCATTCTTGTTTTTACATTGTGTACACTTTTAGCATTAGTCTTAATTTTCACTTATGTGTAAGTGAAACAGTGTATGCCTTATTTGTATTCATCACTACAGGTATACTTGAAAATTTTCACGTGTTCAGAACTATTTAGCGTAATTTATCGTTTCCTTACGATTTCTGTTTATCGTTCTCATAAGTGTTCAAAGTCCAATTTATGTTTCAGCTTTTCTTTTTTCTTCTTTTTAGTAAAAGATTGATCACATTCAATGATAGTCCTATTTTATTAGGACCCGGTATATTAAGACTGCATAAATTACTCTTGCAAGTAGAAAAAAATTCTTTCAGGTTGTTAGCTATTATACATGTAATAAATATAAATAATAAATGCTTATTATTATGATACAGTACAATATAATAATTATTGCAATTTATTTGTACGATCCAGATTCTCAATTACGATAAAGATAGAGAATATACATATGTGTGTATAAATGTAATAAAAGAAAAACAGGATTTATTCTGCGTAAAAGAATATTTTTTAAATGTAAAAATTGAAATTTACCTGACTTCTCATAGGTTCCGTGTTCACTTGACACATGTAAGCACCAGAATCGTTTTTTTGAACGTTTGATACGTGCAACTTCCATGTGTTATGCCCGTTATGCGTAACTGAAAGTCGTGGATTGTGCGCTATTAGATGTGTGTGTATTGCCAAAATTGCTCGTGAATCAGACTTCATCCAAGCCACCTAAGAAAAAAGTTTAATGAATTTTTTACAAAAATATCTATATTTTACATTACATGGTTGTTTTTGCACGAGTTCGCGATGCAACGCGATCTACTTTACTAAAGACGGCGCGTTAGTGAAGGTCGTAACTCTTCACTTCGATGTTTCGACACCGCGTATCGTACAGTGTTTTCCTTACGATCGTTTCCGGAGGTAAGGAATGATACTTGGGATGTGTCTTTTTTTTGTCTTGTCCTCGTGAAGTGTCTTTTCTGAACTCTCTTTATTTGTGGTGGTGCGTGGGTATATATTAGGTCGGTGTATGTTCTGATTGGTTGGACGTTGAAGGTGGTGGAAAAGAAGGTCTGGAAAAATGCGGAGGTGTGATTGGATATTAGGAAACCAGTGGAAGGAGAACGTGAGGGTGAAGGTGGTGGGCAAAAGTTGAAATAATTTGGGGAAAACCCGGAAAGGGGGAAGGGATAGGAAACATGACCAGGGTGCGACTTGAACTATTTTATGATAGGGAAGGAATTTGTTAGGGGCTAGGAAAGGACTGTTTATTAATTTATGATATGTGACTGGTCGGTGGGCTGCGCGACCGGACAAGGACAATCGAACATGGTACATTAAGTAAACCGGATACACGAAAAGAGGAAATGTAACAAAGTAGTATTTAAATTATTTTTTATTTATAGTTATATGATTTATTTTGTATGCTTATAATTGAATTTTATCATTGAAAAAAGTGATGACACATATTATTTGAAACAATTAAAAATTTTTATATCGTGCTTACAGTTGCTATTTCTATAAGGATAAGATAAAAATTACAGAAATTGAAATTTTCGTCATTGGGTATTCATTATAACGCGCGCGGTATCCCTTTCAAGTGCCGCTGTTGTCTCTCTTACGCTATATTTAGTTTCATGTGTGGGCGATATACGTAAATGCGTGAATACTACGTGTGCCGTAGCCTGGCCGGCGTAGTTTAAGGGCGGAGTTAAGGTAAAAGTGAAATGGAAAAGCGGCGAAGGAGAAAACCACGTGACAGGTCAATATGTTTGGTTCATACTATAGCTAAATAGACGTATTTGCCCTGGCCTCTTCTCTTTCGGTAAAGTACATTTTATCTTTTAATTGGCTTGCGCGGTAATATACGTATAGGCGTTGCCTTAACTAATAATATATTCTGCATTATTTACATACATATATAGGAAAATTATTGTGAAGTATACCTTGTACGAATGTAAATTATTAACGACGCAAGTGAAGAAGACGTCACGGCCTTGGATTACTGTATGATTTTCCAATGGAGCTAAAAATTCTGGCAATGGTTCTGGAGTTATTTGACCTGGAATAGAAATTCATTAATTCAAAATTGATATAACTCTATTAAATGCATTAACTGTACAGTTAAAACAGTTTATTTGCCATATACTTTAATAGCTATACATATACGCATATCTCACGTTTTCGTTTTACTTAAACATGTTATAGGTCGACCAAGCAAACCTGAAGGTTCTAACGCGCATGCCTGTGCAAACGAGCGAAAAGTAGGCGTGTACGCTATCCCCACTACTTTACGGTCATAGACTGTCTCCGCTTGAGGGGAAGTTTTGGTGTAGATGGATAAGTAGGTTTCAACAAACCGTCGGTAATATCGCGTGCTGATAAAAGAACAGGAAAGTGGAAAGATCATCTGCTCGCCTTGTTTTTCTGCACGTGTCGGCGCACAAGACAAAATTTAAGAGCACTTAGAATGATAATTTCCAAATGACCCACATACAATGCAAAGATGAGGCTCCAGGCGGGACTTAGGGTCTAACTAGAAGTGGGAGATGCAGGAGAAATTGTGACGTCTTTGCTTTTAATCAGCCGCTATCACAGTTAGTTACTCTGCCGTGAACAACGATAGACGATGATCGAGCCTCGCGTGAACAGTCAATAACAGATGAACAGTCGATAATAGACTGGAGTGATAATTTCGGGCGCTCGATGAATAATCCACCAGTAGTCATTTTTATAATTTTCATCCTATCTTTATGAAGATAGTACCAGTGGATTGGTGTTGTTCTTCCGACGAAAATGAGTTCAAACACGGCATAAATAGGACTAGTCTTAACCGTAATCGCTCTTCAAGCGTCTTTGAAAATTCGGGGTATTTAATTTAATGATTGGTAGAATTACTCTGATTTACGTCGTGTTTGAACTCATTTTCATCGGGAGAATCTCACCAATTCACTGGTACTAATTTCATAAAGATAAGACGAAAATTAGAGATATTGAGAATTTTTGATATTGGATGATTCCTTGCAACGCAGGCGGTATTCCTGTCAGGTGCCGGATCTTAACCGTTACTGCTTGACGCACTACGCTTGTCTTGCCCACTCTCGTCTTGTCTATCCCCTTTCCTTGTCGATTGCGGTCGTAATTCTCGATTGTTCTTAACACGTTTGCTGACACCAGAAAATCGATAGCAACGCTGGGCAATACATTCTGAACCGCATACGTTGTGTCGGTGACAGCGAACGTGTTAACTACCGAGTTTTCCTCGTGTTCTGTGATTGCCACGCAACACTTTTCAAACAATAGTTCTTTTATTATTGTCAGCTAAGTAAAGACCATTTGTCTAAACCATTTATCTACACCGTAACTTTTCCTCAAACAGAGGTAGTGTAGGACCGAAGAGTAGTAGGGATGGTCTGACCGCCTATTTTCCGCTCATTTGATCACGCAACGACATCAGAAGCCTCATCTTTACTTTGTCATTTAACAAAAGAGAATCTTTTACATCTGTCGACTTTACCGTCTCTGTTGGTTAGATTCTATATAATTCCTAAATTCACCGCTTTAAATCAAAGATGGCATAACAAAGCCTCGGACGTTTTACACGATCGGTACTGCAGAACGTGTGAAACACAAAGTTCCGTAAGATGGTAAATCTATTCTATATCTCGTCTGTGGTGTAACTTCACGATCTGCTGGTACTCGCTCCGGAACTAAGAGAGGAAACGGTCGGTCTTTACCGACCGATATGATTATCGATTATACAGTCTGAAAGCAACCAGAAACGGAGACGGATCTCGAAGCAATCGTTGTATTTACTGTTGTGTATTTCAAAAAGACGTAAATAAATATCAGTTATGGTTATGTTTGATATTATTAAATGATATCTAACGACGAAGAAACGCAGCACAACATTGGTGTCAGAAATAGGATGCGAAGGATATCTTCTGCTGGGAAGAAATCTTTTCGGCAGGAGATTTTCATGAGTTTGCAAAGGACTATTGTCGGACAAATGGAGGACTACCGAAGGCCAGATGGGGCCCATTGGTAAAGAGTGAGAGGCTACAGAGAGAATAGCTAAGGAGGCTGAAAATGCAGCCTTTAAAGGCGCGAATGTCCAAAATCTAGAGGATGATTTGCGCATTGACGTTATCATTTGGCAGTTTTTGCGACGGGGAAAGAATGAGGCAGGGGACAAGTTTATTGGCGGTTAGGTATGGGAGGAGGAATAACTAGAGAGAGGATAGGCGGAAAAGGAAAGGGGAAGAAAGATGCGTTTCGTCCTAAATAGGCCTCCTAGTGGACTCTTCAGTGCCTTAAACGCGGAGGACAGTTAGACTCATTGTCAGGATAGAAGTTGAGGGTGTCCCAGTTTTTCCGGTTAAGCATTGCCAGTATGTTCTATGGATATAAATAAGAAAAAAATGTTGTATAAACATAGGTCGTTTAAAGCATTATTAAAAAGTTATAACAAAAATACGAAATACAAAGGGAATGGTAACGAACTTGCGATTATTATAATACAAGACAAGAATGACACTGGTAGAAGTTACATTCAACACCTTCAACGATCTCAGATCGTAAACACAGCTCGCATAAACAGATTAAATGTAGATATCGCTATTTTATTCCTATTTTGTAGCATAACCGCACATCCATTACCATTTCCTTCCTACTTCGTATTATTGTTATAACTTTTTAATAAAGCTTCAAATGACCTAGGTTTATGTAATATATTTTCTTACTTATGCCCATAGAACATACTGAAAAAGTTTGATCGGAAAAAATTGGGACACCCTGTATGTACTAATAGGAGCCTTGGTGAGCACTAGTGAGAAAGGTCAATGGTGGTGGAGTGTGGGAGGTTTCACCGCTACACGTGGAAAAAAGTGTAAATAACATTTTTCCTGCGGCTGTGTATGGTCCCTCGCCCGCTCCTGCCACTGTTTTGCTGCGGGAGCTACCTTTGCTCGCGGGATACGCTCAGGGAAATCATTACGGTATTAGTTCAGGGTAAGCTCCTCATTTTTGATGGCAAAACGTCGTGGGAGGAGCATTTGGTACAGTTTAAGGCGATCGCGCGTGCAAATAGGTGGGGCCGGCAATAGTGTTTTAACTACTTGTCCTGCTGCTCAGCACGGTAGTTTTAGAGAACTATTTTTGGTGCTCGAATTCTGTTTCAGGGCGCGAATTCTTTCAGACTTCAATTATGTGTTATTTCAAAATTGTCGGCAGCGGAAGGGGGAAGAGAGATTAGCAGAAACGCGCGGAAAGCTAGTCGTGTCAATTTTTTTCGATGTTGACGAGTGAAAAGATGAAGAAGACATTGGCGCCTGGGCTGCATTCCCTTCCGAAGGACTGTGGTTACTAGGACCCTGGAGGTGGAAGCAGTCGATGCCATGTCGCCGAGGGTCCTCGGAATCTACGAGTCTGGAAAATGGTCGGAAGACTAAAGCCTTGAACTACGTTGAGGTGCTCCCGAAAAAGAAGGGGGGATAGAGAAGACCTGCTGGTTTTGCAAAAAAACTGGCCATTTTGAGGAGGAAGCGTAGCACTACGATCTCCTCTCTTCCCATCGCCAGGAGCGTGGAGATGCTGGGGTCCACAGGAGGTGAATTAGAATCGTATCGAAAAATTTTCGTATTGGGAGGTGTTGATGTGAACATTTGTAAGATTATTCTGGACACAGGCTCAGTTATTAATCTGCTGAGAAAGGCGATGTGTCTTGTGGAGAACGTCGATACAACGAGGCTTGTAATTTGTTCCAGTGCTGGAGAAAGAATGGAAGAAAGAATCGAAGGGCTCTCTCGAGCAAGAAGGAGTTCCTTATTATTCGAATGGTAGAAGATTGTATACTCGGAACAGCTTTCTTGAAAAAGCACTAGTGCAAACTTCATTTATCCTGGAACGTGTTATGTCTTCCGGAGCTATGGGAAATTCGCTTTGGGAGAGCCACGTTAATGTCTCGCGAAGAAGAGAAAAAGAAGAGAGAAGTGATATCCTGCAGCATTTGGAAGAATTGTTCACACAGTGTTCCTTGAACCTAGAGGATATACAGAGGAAGTATTTCCCTGAGCTGCTTCGTGAATTTCAGGCCGTCTTCGCCAAGAACTCGGATGAAATTGGGAGATGAGAGGTCGTTAAGCATAAGATTAGCACTAGTATCCATTCTCCCATTAAACATGCGTCGCGAAGATTGCCTCTACATCGATGAAATGAAATTTAGGATTTGTTAAAGAAGGTGGAGGATCAGAGCGTTATAGAGAAGACGCAGATACCTAGCGAAGAAGAAGGCTGGATCCACGAGATTTTATGTGGTCTACCGGCGATTGAACAGCGTCACGAAGGACTTGTGTCCTCTGTCTCGTATTGAGGATACGACGGACGCTCTTGCTAGCGTTGTACTAATAAATGTTTGAGAATTGCAAGATTCGTTCAAGAAAAAGTATACCAATAGATAAAAAAGTAGTGAAAACCGCATTCAATTAACCAGAGTAACACCTAATCGTTTTGATAATGATATAATGAAATATACAAAGAGTCATCGCTGATGCATAAAATGACTAGACGTCTGAAAAGACGGCTTTGGTAAAGCCTAAAAGTTTAGCAATAATGGAATAAATATGCTTGTCCACGCAATTGTTTACGTTGTTCGATTGAAATATATCAGACGTATTCACAAATACCTGATAAATTATCGTTTGAAGTGCAACGGCAAGCATCGGAGGTGCTATCAGTGAAAATTATCGAAATACTGTATGTATTGTGGGATAAGTTTAATATACATACCTGTGTTTATAATAAAGTTCTGCATATTTTTTGATTCGACAAGAAGATCAACATTTTTCAAGCAAAGATCCCTGGGAGATCTTTGTTTATTTGAGCAATGAATTTTTAATATTTTCATTGCACAATTTTTTTTTTTTTAACAATTTGTTTTTTATCTACTATAGTTTTTAAGATAAAATAGAAAAATGCACATTAACCTTAAATGGGTATTTGTACCCTGAAGAACAAAAAAGTAGCAAAAAAAGAGAGATATCCCTTACAAACATGCAAAGTTTA